TGGTTTCTGGCATTCTACCACTAGGCTCCTGGAGATGGCCAACACCTGGATGGTTCCTCTCCCATAGACGTCTCAACATTCAAGTTCATGAGTGTGGTCAGATTGGGGCCATGGAATATCAAGACCCCCAAATATTTTCCCCACCTGCTAGGCTATGATTTGGGGCAGTGTTTGCTGGGTAAGCCCCTACTTCTGCCTCATTATGGCCTAGAGCACACTGTCCTTGAAGCCTCTGTCCCTGGGATGTCCTAGCCTCCTTTCTGCTCTGGTGAAGGCAGCTCCTTATCCCGATGGACTGGAGGTACAGACAGGGAGACCTGAGATACTGTAGGTGCTGTGGACTGATGGAGTCTGTCAGGCTGGCACCTCTGTAAGGCTGAACTTACTACCAAGTGCCTCAGAGACATAGTAGTGAGTGTGTCTCTGACAGCAGGTCACAGGTTCACTGAGGGCAGAGTCATGTGAGGGAGGTGGGAGGAAATCCTGTGGGCATGCCAGTCTGGGGGTGCTGAGTCCCAGGGGAAGCCTTATCTTGCTGAGCCTTCAGGTCATACTCAGGATTCCCTGACCTAGTCTAGTCTGCCCCAGCCTGCTTCCACTCTGGAATTTGTGTTGGCTCTCTCTCCTAGGAACAACAATCGATGCTCCTTGTGTGCCCAGAATGACGACGTTTCTCATTAACCCAGTTTTCTCATGTCACCAGGTCATGCAGGCTGACAAGATTTGCTCTAATAAACCTTAAATTGGCTCTCTCCTTGATTAGATTTCAGTTCTGGACAGTCTTTATTGGGGTTGAGACCTTGCTAGTGTCACCTTTAGCCTAACTTGACCCCACACATATCTGGACACAAGCCCACTGCTTCTGTGTATTTAAGCCTCACCTGTGACCCTCTTCACTTCTTCCTGATCAGCCCTCAGGACTCCTAGTACCTCTCAAGGAGTCTTTTTTTTTAATATATATAGTTTATTGTCAAGTTGGTTTACATATAACATCCAGTGCTCATCCCAACAAATGCCCTCCTCCATGCCCATCACCCCCCTTCCTCTCTCCCCCACCCCACCTCAGCACTCAGTTGTTCTCAGCATTCAAGAGCCTCTCATGGTTTGTCTCCCTCCCTCTCCCCAACTATTTTTCCCCTTCTTCCACTTTGTCTTCCATTAACTTCTTTCTAATCCACCTATATGTGCAAACATATGGTATTTGTCCTTCTCTGCCTGACTTATTTCACTCAGCATAATACCCTCTAGTTCCATCCACGTTGCTCCAAATGGCCAGATTTCATTTTTTCTCACTGCCATGTAGTATTCTACTGTATAAATATACCACATCTTCTTGATCCATTCATCAGTTGATGGACACTTAGGTTCTTTCCATGTTTTGGCTTTTGTTGAGAGTGCTGCTATGAACATTGAGGTACATATGTCCCTATACATCAGCACTCCTGTATCCCTTGGGTAAATTCTTAGCAGTGCTACTGCTGGGTCATAGGGGAGTTCTATTGTTAATTTTTTGAGGAACTCCATACTGTTTTCCAGAGGGGTTGCACCAGCTTACATTCCCACCAGCATTGTAGGAGGGTGCCCGTTTCTCCACACCCTTGCCAGCATCTAGAGTCTCCTGATTTGTTCATTTTAGCCACTCTGACTGGTGTGAGGTGGTATCTTAGTGTGGTTTTTATTTGTATTTCCCTGATAAAGGACCTGAATGTGAGACAGGAAACCATCAAAATCCTAGAAGGAAAAAAAACTCCTTGACCTCAACTGCAGCAATTTCTTACTTGACACATTCCCAAAGGCAAGGGAATCAAGAGCAAAAATGAACTACTGGGACCTCATCAAGATAAAAAGCTTCTGCACGGCAAAGGAAACAATCCATAAAACTAATAGGCAACTGACAGAATGGGAAAAGATAGTTGCAAATGACATATCAGATAAAGGGCTAGTATCCAAAATATATAATGAACTCATCAAGCTCCACACCCGAAAAAAAAATAATCCAGTGAAGAAATGGGCAGAAGACATGAATAGACACTTCTCCTAAGAGGACATCCAGATGGCCAACAGACACATGAAATGATGCTCAGCGTCCCTCATCATCAGGAAAATACAAATCAATACCTCTCAAGGAGTCTTACTCCCTTCCTAGGTGGCAAGTCCTTGGGGCCTGATCCAAAGGATCATTCCTGCATGGGTCATAGCCCCCACCAGCATCTTGGAGGAGAGGTTAGTGGGACAATGGTTGAATGGACTCTCATGACATAATTGTCCCTTCCTTATTGAGTTTTCAACCCAAAGACACAAGGAGGCAGGAGAGCATATCAGACATCTCAGATGATAAAGATAGGCTTTATTGGACACATAGACAGAGGGAGGGTGTATAACATGACTGATCTGGGCTGATCCTGGGCAGAATCTCAGGTGTACATGGAGAGCTGAGGAAGAGGTGTCAGGATAAGGAAGGCCTCTATGACTGGGGATCTCAGGGACCTAAGAGCACTCTGCAGGGATCACATTCTTTTCCACCATTCTCCTCTCATGTGTGACCTGGCAGGTGAATCTGTTGTGAGATTTCCACTGGTCACGTGACAGGCTCAGGTAGCTGCTGGCCGTGTACTTGTTGTTGCTCTGTTTGGAGGCCTTGATGGTCTCTACGCCCCTGAGTGACAGGAGTGTCGTCTCCCTTCCAGGCCACTGTGAAGCCACTGGGGTAGAAGTCACTGATGAGGCCCATCAGGGTGGCTTTGTTGGTGCTAAGCTCTTCAGGGGACGGTGGGAAGAACATGACAAAGGAGGTGACTTGGGTTGACCTGTGGGGTGGGAGAGGGGCAGGAGGTCAGAGGCTCAGCATCCACCATGAGGTCTCTTGACCTCGGTCTTCATGTGGTAGAGGTACCTGAGCATCCAGTCAGGCCCAGAGTTCCCACTCTGATTCTGCTGGTCCATGCCAGGAAGGGTGGATTAAGGTGTCCTCAGCCAACTCTCCACTTGTACTGGGAACCTTTGAGGTGGATTCCTGTCACCACCCATCACAAGACTCTCCTGGAACCTTCTCTCCTACACAGACATTGAACTCTCATCGTCCTGCTCCTGCCTCCTCTGACATTGTGACAGTGTCTGTCTTGGCTCTGTTTGACATTATCCATGTCCAGGGGGATAATGTGACCTTTGTGAACCTCCTGTTAACTCATCCTGTGAACCATTGTGACATGACACTTCTGTGATGGGGAAGTGAAGGTCTTTTTCCTAAGAGGTCTGTTTTTAGCCAGATGTGTCTCTCCTGGGCTGTCCCTGATTGTGGTATGATCCTTGCTGGTCATACAGAGTCTGTCTTCCTAGCCTTCCATCTCTCTCATTCCAGTTTTTCTGAGGCCCACTCCCCATCTTCTGCAAATTGGTCATATTACTAGATCCCTCATATCATAGATTGTCCTCTCTTTGTTGCAGGGGTGTGTCCTGCAGGGACTCAACACTCCACCCAGCTCTCATATCTTGTCATTCCATGATCCTTTCTTTGGCATCTACTATTACAAGCTCCATCCTCCCTCTGGCAAGTTTGCCTGAGTCCCCAGTCCAACTCAGGCCTCTACATGGCAGCCCCATGTGGAGGGAAGCTCCACCTGCACCATTCCTGACTCTGAACCCTGAGACCCTGAGCTCCCAGCCCTGTCTGAACCTTGGCATGTGTGTCCTCAGCCTTGGCCCTGAGGGTGCCATGTCCCTGTAAATGCTTCACATGGTCACCCCTCTCAATGCTCCTTGTTGTCTATTCACTTTTATATGGGGACCCTTACTGACTCCCAGAGACAAAGTTGTCCAACAGGAAACCTTACAGGAAGACATAACAGAGCACAAATATGACCCAGAATGGCCCTGGCAGACATATAGATGAGCTTTTAGGACATCTTGACCATCCCTTGTCTCTGAGGTAATAGGAGAGGGGCTATGATGACCAATGAAGCAAGCAGATCAGTCTGTAGAGGAAAAGAAGGAGATTAGTGTCCCAGGTCCTGGGGTCCCAAGTGAAAGAGTAATCAAGTTGAGAGATGACACAAAAAGAAAAGAGATAGCAGAAAACCGCCCAAATGTCTGGGAGAGCATGGAAAGAGGAAGAAGATGAGACTCACTTAGGATGGTCAGCCGGGTTCCTCCGTCAAAATGAAACACTGGGATATGGGCTAATAAAAAAAAAACCCACTGCCTGGGAGCTCCTGCCTACCCCCTAGACTCCCACCTGCAGCTGTGATGGAGGAAGTGGGGGCACTACTGCATGCTGGTATCTGCTTAGCAGGGGGGCCACATGCCATCCACCCCTTCCACATGACAAGGTCAGTGTTCCTACGTGTGCAGACAGGGAAAGCTTGGAATCAGATCTTCCAAAGGAAGTTGGTACCTGATCTGCTGATTCTACCTCCAATTCCTGGGAGTTGGAATGAGTTTGTGGAGGGCCTCTGTGTCATCTTGAGTAAAGATCTATGGAAATGAAGAGTAAATCCCTTCTCTGTATGTTCAAACAATCCTAATTCCTTGGTGAGACCATGAGGTGAGGGCAGATGGTGGGCCCTCCCTCCCAAACCTTACTCTGTAGGCAACAGCATATTGGTCTGTGTGTATGAGCCACTGGAAACTTCCTATGCCCCCAAACATCACTTCAGAGAGTAGAGTCTTATTTTTCAGGAGGGGGGCCCTAGTTTAGGACTGTCTTGAGTGAAGTCTGTCCTAGTGTTGTGTGACATGTCAGCTTGTGTCCAGATGACTTTGGTAACAGCACCAGCCAAAGTTCCATTCTAGGGGATGGTTTGCTGTGTGACTATTGCTCTGTTTCTTTAAAGGAAGTTTACATCCCATCTGCCATGAAATGGAACTGGCATCAGTGGCCAATTTCAGGCGTGGGGCGGATAGGCACAAGAGGAAAGATAATATGTTGTCTATAAATAGCAGGAGCTGTAGAGATCACATGGGGTCATGTAAGTCACCCAGGAGGCACCTGAAGAGGCTCTCACTAGACTAATGTCCACAGATGCAGCCATATTACTACGTACATAGTAGAAAACTGCATGCATTCTGCCAAGACAATCTGATCGATCCCAGCATGTAGCAGGTCACCAAACAGGAATGAGTCAGCAGGGGAGGGTAGAGGGAGCAGGTCATCATCCTGTAAAGTGAGGAAGAACAGTGAACAGCGCACATTTCTTCTTTTCCCTACACATGAAAGGCACTCCCAACCTGAGTACATTGTAACCCTTGAAGGAGAAGGAAGACAGAAACGAAATATTGTCGTAATGCACCCTTTCCATCTGATGGATGGAGTCATTGAACATCAAATGCTACCTAAAAAGGTCCACTTGACATGGATCCTTTGATGCAAAGTAGCCAATTGTCCTGGGAGGTGATTCTGACAACGTGCAAACCAGACCTCCTGAAGGATCTGATGCCAGAAGACTTTTGCAGGAAGAGGAAGCAGAGAGCATGGCTCAGATACAATTCTGGGAGGCCATGGCTGCATCCCTAACATGGGAAAGTCTCAAGACCAGCCACTTAGCCCTTGAAGCCCCTTACAAGGAAAATTAGAGTGATTTGGGAAATTCTCATAGACCCAACTATCTGAAGACACACACCCCAAATCAGTGTCAAATGTTATTCAATACCCAGAAAGAGAAAAGGAAATACCCCCAAATAACAGCATTAACAGCATAGTTCCATGAATTCACCTGTGACAAGTTTGAGGTCTTTGATGATAAGTATTTTGGTTGTCAAGGATTTACTCATAGATCCTAGGTCGGTTTGATCATGCTACTTTAGTTTCCGTTTAGGTACAGATGAAATAGCTATTGATAAAAAGATATTATATCTGGAATTTGTTTCCAAATATTGCATAAGAGAGCAATCATTTTGTTGCATAGGCATCATCAGAGAATTGATAGATTGGGACCTGGTTGATGGGAACATGGAGGTATTCTTATTCCTCTGTCTCCCTATTTTGTTGTTTTCATTTTTCCTTAATGCACACATACAAACAACTTACAAGAAGAGATGATAGTGTGGGGAAGTACCAGAGGTGAGGTGATTTTGGCATTCTACAGCAGTGTCTTGGGCATAAGGTAGACCTGGTGGCCTTCTCTCTCATTTGGGCCTCAGCATTCGTATCCATGACATATGGCCTGCATGTGTTGTGGGATCCTAGGACCCCCTAATCTGTCTTCTCCCTCTTAGGCTTTTCTAGGGCAGGAATGGCTGGGATAAAAGCCTAAGGGCTCTGCCCTGTGCTCTCCCCCATTGTGATCTCAGAACTCTTGGGCTTTATAGGCTCTGTCCCTGTGCTGACCTGGCTCCCTTGCAGGTCTGGTGATGGCAGCTGCTGGTGTCTGATGACCTGGACACATAGACAGGAGGCTGGTGGTGCCTACACCTCTGCTAGACTGACTGTGCATACACAGTGACCTGGGATTGAGTGTGTCCCTGATACCAGGCCACAGGTGCACTCAGGATTGAGCCACAGTGCATGAAAGATGCTTGATCATAGGTGGCTCTGTAGGCCCTGAGTACCTGGGAAGGAGACGCTGACTTTGCTGTAGCCCTTAGACCACACTCACTCTGCCAAAGCTGATCTACGCCAGCCAAAGTATACTCCTGAATTTGAACTGGTTCCCTCTCTTCAGGACTATCATTGGAAGCCCATTATGTGCCTAGGATGGTGTCCTTTGTCATTTACTCAGTTCTCCATGTCCCCACCACATGCAAGCCAATATCATCGACGTCATCTATAACCTAACCATAAAGTAACTCTCTCCTTGATCTCAGTTCAGATGACGAGACTCTTCATTATTAAGGTCCCAGCCCCAGCTAGAGTCACTTTGTCCCTGACCTTGACACTGGCCCATCAGAATATAAACTGGGTGTCCTTGTGCCTCAGCCTGACCTCAAGTTCCCAGCACTAGTGCAATGAACACTGCTGTCCTGAAGTGTGTCCCAGGGCTTCCTGATTTGGTTGGGAGAGTCAACTAGGTTCAGGAAGGGTTAGGCTATAAGATGTGAAACTTTCACTGTAGTCCTTGTTAGTGTCTTTACTCAGCTATGTATGGTGAAAGTTTTGAAACAAACTTCTAAGATTCATTGTTCAAAGCTTTCAATGACTTTCAGCTAATGGGCCAACCATGGACCCCCTCATTTGGTAGTCGCTTTCCCCTCTGGATTACTTACACGGAACTGGGAATTTAACTTCTGTTTCTAAACAGCCTCAGGGATCTCCTTCCTCCTTATTGTTGATTCTGCCCACTGCTGGCTCCTGGGACCCTTCTCATTCCTCTCTGATACCCTACAGAGCCCCCAGTTCCCTCTAACTCAGCATTCCTCCCTTTCCAGATGGCAAGGGCTGTATCCAGTGGGGCTGGTACCACACTACTATTTCATGCTCTGAGTCATTCCCAGAGTGATACAGAGTAAATGGGGTCCTTTTAGGGTTAGTTGAGTGGATGATGGTTTGATAGATCTCACATATAATTGTCCCTTCTCTTAACACTAATCCTTTAACCCAGACAAAACCAGACAAAAAATTGACATCAGAAATGTCAAATGGTAAGTGATAATTTCTTTATTGAGCACAGGTAGAAACAAGGGAGGGTGTGTGACCTGCCTGGTCAGAACTGATCCAGGGGTTGGTTCTCAGGGGTACATGGTGAGCTGGGGAAGCAGTGTCTGGATGAGGAAGGCCTCCATCCCTGACAGTCTCGGGGACCTAAGAGCACTCTGCAGGGACCACATTCTTCTCCACGGTGCTCCCCTCATGCGTGACCTGGCAGGTGAATATGCTGCGAGATTTCCACTGGTCAGGTGACAGGCTCAGGTAGCTGCTGGCTGCGTACTTGTTGTTGCTCTGTTTGGAGGGCTTGGTGGTCTCGATGCCCTGGGTGACAGGGTTGCCATCTGCCTTCCAGGCCACTGTCAAGCCACTGGGGTAGAAGTCACTGATGAGGCACACCAGCGTGGCCTTGTTGGCCTTGAGCTCCTCATGGGATGGTGGGAACAGCATGACCGATGGTGCTGACTTGGGCTGACCTGTGGGGTGGTGGAGAGGTAAGCCAGAAGCTAAGTGTCCATGGCTGAAGCTCCTACTTCAGTCTTAATTTGGGGAACAGCTCTGTCATGTCCATGGCTTGGGCATCAAATGGCCCCAGCTCCCTGAGGTCAGGTCAGCCATGGAACAGGCCACTCACTTTCTGTTGCAATGAATCTGACTGCCAGATTCTGTAGTGTTTGTGCCCCTGCATGGCCTTAGACACTCTCCAGGTCACATGTCCTTCTCACCCACACAGTCCTCCCTGGGACTGCCTGGCACTGGCCCTGAGACCTGCATTCTCTTGTGAATCTGTCTGTTCTGGACATTTGCGTCACTGCCAATATCACCCAGGTTGCTTACCTAGACCTATAGCTGATCTGTGTTGGTCATTGAGCCTTGTGTTATCATTTAAAAAGTAGGTTTCCTGTCCCCAGAGTCCCTCACACCATTATTAATTACAGCATTTCCCCTTCCTAACGGAGAACCCCCTCCCCAGGGTTTCTAAGTGTGCAAGAAATGGGAGTTCATTGAGCTGGACTACAGGGAGCCCTGTGGCTGGAGAGTTTTCAGATGATGTGAATTTTCAGTTTTGAGCTTAGGCTATGTCTTTTCTGAAGGTTCTTCCTTTTCTGTGATGTTAACTGGGGGTTCTGTTTATCTGTCTAAACATTAGCTTTCTGGAAGTCTGGCAGGCACAGTCCCTGTCACTTCTCCCTATCAGGGGACTCTGACCCCATGTATTTGCTCACAGAGCTCTACTCCCTTAGCGGGTTGTAAAGAAATGTACCCCTGCTGCCTGCCAGGACATTCTCCTGATTCCTTTCTTAATCTTGGTTTTCTTACTGTTCCTCTAGAAGTGGAAGGTCCAAGCACCCTGGGGCCTTTCTCTTCTGATGACCTTCCTCCTCCTTGATCCCCTTGTCCCACTTCCACCTTCATGTTTCCAAGTCCCCAGACCAATGGTCTGTTCACTGTGCTTCAGGCAGACCTCCAGATGGGATGAGCTGGAGAAAGAATGCTATGCCTGAGCCATCCCCAGAATCCTTCCCACACCCCACGGCCCTGTTTGAAGCCCAAGTGCCCCACTTCCTTGCCTTCACTCCTCAGTTCTCTTTAGACTCTTGGAACACAGTTTTAAGGATGGGCTAAGTCTGTTCTGAAGTGTCTCCCTGTTCTGTGAAGTTTTCTGGGGTTCTGTCTGTCATCAGATTTCTGAGTGCCTGGCAAGACCTGTCCTTGTCACCTGTCCCTATCTGGAAACCTGGCCCCACATATCTATCTGCTCAGGAGGCTTTCCTGTGATGGTGAAGGCATTTACTCTTGCTGCCTGAGTGTCCTGAGACCTGTCTGTTTGCTGGTGTTCTGACTGTCCCTGTGGAGGTGGAAGGTCCCAGCACCCAAGGCCCTTTTCTGCTCTGATATACTTCCTTCTTCCTTGACCCCCTTGTCCCACTTCCTCCTTGATGTCTCTAAGTCTCCAGGTTCTCTGCACTGTGCTTCAGGCAGTCCTCTTCTTTGGATCCCCTGAGGATGGAATCCAGTGCCTGAGCCGTCGCCAGAATCCTTCCCATATCCCATGGTCCCTTTGGCAGCCTGAACTCCCAGTCACTTTCCCTTCACCTCTCAATTCTCCTCGTCTCCAGTAGCTCAGAAATGCTGAGTGGGTATCTGACCATCCCTGAGTCCAGAGAAGGCTCCCTTGGGGAAGCTAGAGCCATGGTGAGTTGTGGGTTTAGGTCTACAGGGACAGTCACCTGTAGCCCTGACCAGACATCTGATAAGAGTGGATGGGGGGAGGCAATGAGGGTCAGACAAAAGGGGCAAAACCTACAGATCCCACAGATCTTCAGCCTGAGCCCAGGCCAAAATAGAAAGCAGAGAAAAATCACCCAAAATTGTACACTGAATCTGAAAGAGGAGTGAAACGGGGAAGACTCACCAGCGATGGTCAGATGGGTTCCTCCGCCGAAAAGATAACACTGTGACACAGCCTTGAACACAAACCCTCTGTCAGTACCTCCACTCCTGACCCAAGCCCACCTGCAGCTGCACGGGAAACTCAAAGCACAACCCCCTTGTCACGGGCACTGGTCGGGCAGATGGGTGGGTGATGGAAGTGCTCCCTGGGGACCCGAAATTTCAGTTCATGGAGGGTTCAGATTCCCTCCATCCTCAGCCATGGGGAGACTTTGGAAAGACCACCTCTAGATCTGGCATCTGAATCCCCAGCTAATGGCATCTTTAGGAAGGTACTGGGTGCTTTCCTCAGTCTTTGTCAGGATGTCATTGTGGAAGGGGTGAGCAGGGCTGTTTCAGCACAGAGGTGATGGGACTGGGAGCTCTTTGCAGACTTGGAACTCATTTGGAGGGTTCTGGATATGCCACCACATCATCAGCACAGGAGACCATTCAGGTTTGGGGTCAGGAATCGGAAGTGTTGGGAAGAGAATCATGGTTCCCCCCCAACACTTAGATCCCCTTCTAGGTCCTGAGCTGCTGAATCCCTGTCTTTGTCTGGTTCTTCCAGATGGTAGAGTAGATGGGCATTGCTTTGCCCTGTCCTGAACCTTGTGAGGGCACCTGTCATGCTGTAGGGGTGTGTGAGATGAATGTAAGCTGGATAGACCTGGCTGGCCCCTATGGGTGGGGAGTCTGTCACTACATTTTCTCCCTGAACCGAAGTGTGGGAATGTGTGTCTGACCCTTGAACTCTCAGTGAGAATCACATATGTCCCACAAACAGGAGCATCACTAGCACAGGGTCACCCCACGAAACAAGACACATATTGTACCTCTGCACTGGACCTTCACGTTGTGAGGAAGGGGGCCTGACCTTCATGGCCTTTGTTTGCATCCTGGCCTTGGGATGTCACCTGCAGAGCTCACACAGGGGACACACGGGTCTGGTATCTTTCTTTCTGTGACAAATTGGCATACTGAGCCAGAACTCTGGATGTCTTCCTTGATATGTTCTTGATTAGTGTGTAAACACCCTCCCAGCAGGTAATAAGGTTGCTTCTTATCCTATATAAGAATTGCCGGGGGGTTCTGTTGTTACTGGATGGCTCTGGTATGAACGACAGAGATGGAATTGTCTTTTTTCATGTCATATCCTGGCTCCCTGTGCAACACCTTCTATTCCAGCTCCTCCTGATCTTTCCTGTGTGTGTGCTTATGTGTGTGTTATGATCAGATCCTACACTGAGCTCCTAAGTAGATGAGTCAGTTGAGAAACATGTCAGCAGCCCCTTCCTAGCGTCTGAGCCTTGATTTGTAACAGAGGCCTTGTGGCAAGTCACACAAACTCAAGCCATGGACTCATGGGTTGGCCTGGCCTCAGAGGGGTTCTAGAGGGCATAGTTGGAGTCTGTCTCCCAGAGACTTTGGATACAAGTGTGAACCAAGAGACATGGTGAGGGTGAGGTGTCGGCAGTAGAAGTGTGAGTGTGAGTGCCCAGTGCCCAGAAAGAGGCTCCTGCAGTGAGTATGATGGGGGTCTGTGGAAGGGGGACAATCATTGTTCCTGGGTAGGTAGGAGCAGGTGTTCTCATGAGATAGGGAGGAGGCTCTAGGCTGTGATGATGGGGAATGTCCACGTGGGGTAGGAAACCAGAGAAAACCTGGCACTGAGTGGGGGGCTTACAGGAAAAGGAGAGTGAATATCTTCAGAGGAGAGCTTGTTGTAGTCAGTGAAGTGCCACGTCCAGGGAGAAACTCAGGGATTATCCAAGAAATCATGGGGGCCTGAGATCAGTGAGGGCAGTTATGATTGGTATTGGACATGGTTCACACAAGAAGGAAAGCAAAGAGAGACATTGTGGAGGATGGTCTCTTTTTTTATGTTTTTTTTTAAATCTTGTGTTCATGAATATTCCCTGGCAATTTTGGGTGAGAACAAAATAGCCCCTCAAGATGCCTACCTTGGGCAATGTTCCCAAGAGGCAAAAGGAATCATATCCCCCCAGTAAAGATAGTTGAGTTCCAGACCAAAATGTTAAAGCCAGATTACCAGATAGCATGAATTCTGATTGAATAAGGGACATTTTATTGAAGGTTGATTGGGTGCTGGGAGAAGGGCTGGGATGATCCTGGTGCATGGGCAATCCTTCTTGGAGGTGCAATGTGCAGCCACATACTATCATGCCTAGTGGCCTTCCCTGGGCCATCACCCAAGCTTATCAGGTCAAGTCCAGAGTGCACCAGATCAGCAAACAATAATGATTCAACAGGGGAGGATGGAAGGAGCAGATTATCATTCTGTAACATAGGGAAGAAGAGGAACAGTTTATTTTCCTCTAACATTATATATGAAGGTAGCTCTGGGGAGCATAAAGAGCAGATGAAGGCACACTCCTTATGAGCACATTGTAGCTCTCACAGGAGAAGGAAGACAGAAATGAAATATTGCCATGATACATCCTTCCCATCTGATGGATGGTGTCATTGAACATCTAGACAGCTAGTACTACTTGAAAAGATCCACCTGACCTGGGTCCCTTGATGCAAAGTAGCCAATAGTCTTGGCTTGACTACCATACACATTATGAATTTTGACATCACATGTCCCAAATGTAATCCAACCATAAGTATTGTGTCAGGAGTCTAGACTTTCATGACTAAGATCCCAAGCAGTGCCAGGATGATGCTAAGCCTCACTGACCACATACAATCTGAACAGACCCATTTTCCTGGAAACCCTCCTTGTTTCTGTCTGATCCCCCCGGGACCCCAGTCTGTCTCACTTGGCCCATCTCCATTCCCATGGGCACAAGAACTGCAACCATTGAGTTGCCCACAAGACAATTGTTCTTCAGGTCATGGCGACAAGAACACAGGGAAAGTGGGCAAATAGGTTCTCACTTGACAAGTCTATCCCTAATTACTGAGGCTTACCCAGAGTGAAGAGGAACAGTGAATGTACACCAGAAATGTCAGTGATAAGCACTAAAGTCCTTATTGAGCACAAGTAGAAACAGGGAGGGTGTGTGACCTGCCTGGACTGAGCTGATCCAGGGGTTGGTTCTCAGGGGTACACAGTGCCCTGGGGAAGGGGAGTCTGGGGACCTAAGAGCACTCTGCAGGGGCCACATTCTTCTCCATGGTGCTCCCCTCATGTGTGACCTGGCAGGTGAATCTGCTGCGAGATTTCCACTGGTCAGGTGACAGGCTCAGGTAGCTGCTGGCTGCGTACTTGTTGCTTTGTTTGGAGGGCTTGGTGGTCTCGATGCCCTGGGTGACAGGGGTGCAGTCTGCCTTCCAGGCCACTGTCAAGCTGCTGGAGTAGAAGTCACTGATGAAGCACTCTATTGTGGCCTTGTTGGTGCTGAGCTCCTCAGGAGAGAGTGGGAAGAATGTGACCGAGGGCGCAGACTTGGGCTGACCTGTGGGGCAGAGGAGAGGCAAGAAGTCAGAGTTTACATGTTTATTTGGTCACATCCTACCTCTGTTCTAATGTGGGGTACATTTCTGTCATGTCTAAGGCTTGGGCTTCAGTTGTCCCTTGCTCTCTGTGTTCTGGTCAGCAATTGGTAGGATTGCTTACCTTCTGTTGGAGAGAAGCTGAGTGTCCATCTGTTGGAGATCTGAGCCCAACTGTGGTTTTTGTTCCTCTTCAGTTTCACCTGTCCTTATTACTTTCCTATATGCCTGTAGGCTCCCATGTTACTAAGTTTTATCATGCTCAACACCTAATCTTTTCCTGTGGAATCTATCTGTCCTGTGTCATGTCCTGCCAGGTCCATCTCTAAGGGGTGCTCATGAAGGTGCCTGTCTATTCAGGTATTAGTCTCCCTAAGAGGGGGTTTCTTGGCCATATTCCAGATGATCCCTCATTGCAGCCCTTGCCCATCTCTTTTTTTTAAATTAAAAAAACTTTTTAAATTTATTTCTGACAGAGAGAGAGAGAGAGAGAGAGAGAGGAGAGGGGAGGGTCAGAGCCCGACGCGGGGCTCAAACCCACGAACCCTGAGATCATGACCTGAGCTGAAGTCACACTCTTAACCGACTGAGCCACCCAGGCGCCCCACCCATCTCTTGGCAAAGACCCTCTAAGGTTCCCTGAGGGGGAGAGACCATCTGCCCCCAGGCTGGAATCTAGTTTATCAGGTGGAGACTTTCTGGGAGAGGTGAATTTGTTGTTCTGAGGCTGGGTCTGGAGCTACTCTGAGGGGTCACTTTGTGTGTGAAGTTATCTCTGGGGGACTGCTGCCCTAGCATTGCCCTAGCTTGGTAGGGGCAGGGGCTATCCCTGTCTCCTGTCTCTGTGGAGTCACCAACCCCAGCATCCACTCAGGGGTCTCTCCTCCCACATTCTTATGGGTGTGATAAGCTTTGGGACCTGAGCATCCTGAGCCCTGTCTTGTCTGAGGAGGTCTTGCCTGTCTCAAAGGAGGATGACGGACCCAGCACTCTGAAGCCACCTTGTCCTAGGAAATCTTCCTTCTGTCCTTGTCTCCCTTGCCTTGGGTTCTCTTCTATCTCATGGCCAATCAAGAGTTCTCCCATAACCTCTAAGTAGCTCCCACCTAGAACCCGGAGAGCATAGAACCCAAATGTGATTGAGGACACTAATTGATTGAACTCATGAGTTGTGCAAGCATCCTTCCATGGTCCCATGGCACTGGTGCCCCATCCAGAGTCCCCCAGTCCTTGAGTCCTTCATTTCCTCACATATGGGGGATGAGAGACCCTGAGGGAGCTGAACATCTCAGCGTCCAGAGGAAGACTTACAGGAGTGGACAGAACAGAGCACATATGCAACTGAGGATTGCTCTGGCAGACAGATATATGAGTTTTTAGGTCATCCTGAGTATCCCCTGCCTCTAAGATAGTAGGGGAGGGGCGTGATGCCCAAGGAAGCAAGCAGGCATCTAGAGGAAGGGAAGGAGATCAGGTTTGCAAGGACTGGGGTCCCCGATGAAAGAGTGATCAAGGTGAGAAAAGACACAGAAAGAAAAAAAAAAAAAAGAAGAATGAAATTCCCCAAATGTCTCGCAGAGCAGAGAAGGACGGAGAAGATGAGACTCACCTAGGAGAGTCAACCGGGTCCCTCCTCCGAAAAGAAAACACTGTGATACAGGCTAATACAAAGACCATTGCCTGGGAGTCCCTGCCCACTCCCTAGACCCCTACCTGCAGCTGTGAGGGAGGAAGTGGAGACACTGCTGCAGGCTGGTGTCTGCTTAGCAGAGGCCACAGATCTTCCACCCCTAGCAGATAACAGTGTCAATGTCCCCACATGTGCAGCCACAGGATCCTTGGAATCAATTCTCCCAAGGAAGTTAGTATCTGACCTGCTGTTTCTACCTCTATCTCCTGGTATCAGAATCAGTTTTGTTAAGAGCCTCTGTGTCACTGTGAGTGAGCATCTGTAGAACTGAACAAGAAATCCCTTCTCTGTATGATCAAATAATCCTAATTCCATGGTGAGATCATGAGGTGAGGACAGAGGGTGTAACCTTCCTCCCAAACCTTTAACTCCAGGGAAAAGCAGATTGGTCTCTGTGTATGAGCTACTAGAAACTTCCTATGCCCCCAAACATCACTTCAGAGAGAAAAGTCTTATTTTTCCAGGGGGGAACCTAGTTTGGGACTGTTTCAAGTGAAGTCTGTCCTGGGCCTTTAGGACATGCCAATCTGTGTCCAGGTGACGTCGGGACTAGCCCCAGCCAAACCCCTATCTAGTCCTATTCTAGGGTCGATCTGCTGTGTGACTGTTGCTCCACTTCTTTCAAGGAGTCTTAAATTCCATCAGCCACGAAATGGAACTGGCATCAGTGACCAATTTCAGGCCTGGGGCAGGTAAGCACAAGTGAAATAGAATATGTTGTCCATCAGATCATGTGGGTGTACCCAGGAGACACCCAAGAGGCTCTCACTGACTAATGTCCACAGACGTAGCCACATTTTCATATGTACAGTGGAGAAAGCCAAGCATTCCATCAAGCCTACCCAAGTCATTCCAAGCATGTATCAGGTCTCCAAATATAAATGAGTTAGCAGGGGAGGGTGGAGGGAGCAGGTCATCATCCTGTAAAGTGGGGAAGATCAGGGAATGGTGCACATTTCTTTTTTCTCTACACATGAAAGGCACTGCCCACATCGGTACATTGCAGCCCTCACAGAAGGAAGACAAAAATGAAATATTGCCGTGATGTACCATTCCCATCTGTTGGATGGAGTCATTGAACATCAAAGAAGCTAAAAAGGTCCACTTAATGTTGGTCTGTTGATGCAAAGTAGCCAACTGCCCTGGGAGGTGATTCTTTCTTTCTTTTATTTTTTAATTTTTTAAATGTTTTTTATTTCCTTCTGAATGAGAGACAGCATGAGCAGGGGAGGGTCAGAGAGAGAGGGAGACACAGAACCCTGGGAGGTGATTCTAACATGCAAACTGCACCTCCTGAAGGATCTGATTCCAGAAGCCTTTTGCAGGAAGAGGCAGAGATAATGGAGATGGCTCAGATACAGCTCTCTAGGAGGCCATGGCTACATCCCCATCTTGGAAGAGTCCCAGGACCAGCTACTTATCCCCTGAAGTCCCTTCCTTGCAAGGAAAAGTAGAACAATATGGGAGATTCTTATAGACCCAACACATCTGAAGACACACACCCCAATCACAGTGTCAAATGTTATTCAATACCCAGAAAGAGAAAAGGAAATGCCACCAAATAACAACAGCATCAACAGAATAATTCCATTAATTCACTTGTGACAAGTATTTTGGTTGTCAAGGATTTGCTCACAGTTTCTACATTGGTTTAATAATGGTATTTTAGTTTCTGTTTAAGCCTTGATCTTATGGTACACAAATGAAATAGCTATTGATAAAAAGATATGATATCTGGAATTTGTTTCCAAATATTGCATAAGAGAGCAATTATTTTGTGTTGCATCAGTATCATCAGAGAATTGATAGATTGGGACCTGGTTGATGGGAACATGGAGGTATTCTTATTCCTCTCTCTATTTTGGTGTTTTCATTTTTCCTTAGTGCACACTTACAAACAACTTACAAGAAGAGATGATAGTGTGGGGCAGTACCAGAGGTGAGGTGATTTTGGCATTCCACAACAGGATCATGGACATGAGGTTGACCTGGGTGGCCTTCTCCCTCATTTGGCCCTCAGGATTCATATGCGTGACATGTGGCCTGAGGTGTGGTGGGATCCTAGGACCCCTTAATCTTCCTTCTCCCTCTTACGTTTTCCTAGGGCAGGAGTGGCTGGGATAAAAGTCTGAGGTGTCCCTGTGCTCTGCCCCATTGTGATCTCAGAACTCCTGGGGCTTGTAGGCTCTGTTTCTGGGCCAACCTGGCTGCCTAGCAAGTCTAATGAAGGCAGCTTCTTGTCTCAGATGAACTTGAGACTTAGGAGGATGGCTGTGTCTGCACCTCTGTGAGACTGACCTCGCATGCTTCAGTGACCTGAGATTGAGTGTGTCCCTGATAATAGGCCACAGGTGCACTCAGGATTGAGCCGCAGTGAGTGAAGGAGGCTTGTGCTATAGGAGGCTCTGTGGGTCCTGAGTATCTGGGAAGGATACTCTGACATTGCTGTAACCCTTAGGCCACACTGACTCTGCCTGTGCTGGTCTGTGCCAGTCAAACTACTCCTGAATTTGAATTGACTCCCTCTCTTCATTACAATCATTGGATGGCCACTATGTGCCCAGGATGCTGTCCTTTGTTATTTACTCAGTTCTCCATTTCCCCACCACATGCAAGCCAATATCATGGACTTCATCTATAACCTAACCATACAGTAACTCTCTCTTTTAACTCAGTTCAGATGATGAGCCTCTTCATGATTGGGGTCCCAGGACCAGTTAAGGTCACTTTGTGCCTGACTTTGACTCTGATCCATCAGAATATAAGCTAAGTGTCCTTGTGCCTCAGCCTGACCTCAAGTTCCCAGCACTAGTGTGAGTGAACACTGCTGTCTTGAAGAGTGTTCCAAGGCTACCTGAGTTGGTTGCGAGAGTCAACTAGGTTCAGGAAGGGTTAGGCTACAAGATGTGAAACTGTTTCTCTGTAGGTCTTGTTAGTGTCTATACTCACCTAGCATGTATTGTGAAAGTTTGAGAAATGTACTTCTAAGATTAATTGTTAAAAGCTTTCTGTGGCTCCCTACTAATGGGCCAACCATGGACCCCTCATTTGGTAGTTGCTCTCTCCTCTGGGTCACTTGTATGGAACTGAGAATTTAACCTATTTTCCTAAAGACCATTGTTTCTGCTCAAGGATCTCCTTCCCCCTTATTGTTGTTTCTGCCCACTGCTGACTTCTGGGATCCCCCTCCTCCCTCTCTGACACCCTACAGGCCAACCTGGTCTCCCTCTCTCAGCTTTTCTCCCTTTCCAAGTGGCAAAGACTGCATTCTGGGGGGCTGGTACCACAGGACTATTTCCTACTCTGGGTTGCTCCCAAGGGGAAGGAGAGTCAATGGAGTCCTTTTAGGGTTAATTGAGTGGATGGTGGTTAGATAGAATCTCATGTCATTACTGTCCCTTGTCTTAATTACTAAGCCTTTAACCCAGACATAACCAGACAGAGAATTCACATCAGAAATGTCAAATAATAAATGATAAGATTTTATTGAGCACAAGTAGAAACAGGGAGGGTGTGTGACCTGCCTGGTCTGAACTGATCCAGGGGTTGGTTCTGAAAATTACATGGTAAGCTGGGGAAGTGGTGTCTGGATGAGGAAGGCCCCCATCCCTGACAGTCTCAGGGACCTAAGAGCACTCTGCAAGGACCACATTCTTCTCCACAGTGCTCCTCTCATATGTTACCCGGCAGGTGAATCTGCTGCGAGATTTCCACTGGTCAGGTGACAGGCTCAGGTAGCTGCTGGCTGCGTACTTGCTGTTGCTCTGTTTGGAGGGCTTGGTGGTCTCCACGTCCTGTGTGATAGGGGTGCCATCTGCGTTCCAGGCTACTGTAAAGCCGCTGGGGTAGAAGTCACGGATGAGGCACACCAGGGTTGCCTCGTTGGCATTAAGCTCCTCAGGGGAGGGTGGGAAGAGTGTGACTGAAGGCACGGACTTGGGCTGATCTGTGCAGGGTGGAGAGGGTGAGAGATGCAGGGAGAGTCCAGGTATTGGACAGCCCTTCCCCCATCTACACCCTGTATGACTGTTCCCATGGTGGCAGTGCTTGTTCACTCAGGGGACCCTCCTTTCCACTCCAGCCCTGCCCAGCAGGCAGCCTCCCAAGTTCTCAGTATCCCTTCCATGTCACCTCTCCCAGGTGTGTGAAAAGTGCATCTGTAGCCTCAGTTTCCCTGTGCATGAACAAGTTAGTCTTTCCCCCAACCACTTTCCTGGTTTCTGGTGTCTAAGTTCAGAATCTGGCCCTAACCTCCAATTTTCTCAGCCAAGCATGTGGTCCCCATATCACTTAATTTTTCTGGATTCATGTACTTCCCCTGTGAACTGGAGCCCCTTCCAGGCCAATCCTGATAGGGTCTGTGGAAGCTCCAAGCCCTGTGCACAGTGAGGCATGGAGCCTCCTGTCCTCCTTGGGAAAAGCTCTGTCCCTGTTTGGCCTCAGGTCTCCTGGGTAAGCTGGATAATCCAAGCCTCTTCTATCTCCCCCATCCATCCTGCTCCTACCACAGGATCCTTGGCTGCTTTCTTGGGGGATGTCCCCTGCAGACAATGGTCACAGCAGCCCCACAGCCACTCCAGTACCTCTGACTACTCCTGACTTTAAGGGGCTGCTGTGTAGCTCTGAGCCTCCCATTCACTCCCTAGTTGGTCATCTCCTAAGTCTAATGTGCCCTTTGAGGATGGTGGGAGGCCAGCCCTTGGACAGGTGAGACACATGGCCCTGGGATCATGGGGCTTCAAGGACTGAAGAGACGGTCCATGGGACCTGCTCCTTTCTGACCAATGTCCTTGGAAGGCCGTGCTTCTGGTTACATTACCTTACATCTCCTATGTCTCTGTGTCCCTCCATCCTCACAGCCTAGCAGAGACCCTGAAAACAAAGCAGACCTGCCTCTGTACCTTCCACAGGTCTCCCCTCAAGCTGCCTCTCTCTGTGACCAGTGGCTGGGGTCATAGCCCCAGCCATATTCCAGCCTCCTGTGTGGCCCTCCTAGCCTGAATGGGCATGGAGCCCTCAGCCCTGATGACTCAGGGACTGTCTCTAAGGCTGCCTCACCGCCCCTAGTCAAAAACAACCTCTGGATTCCATGTGGTGTCTGCTCTAGAAGTGAAGGAGCCCTCTATGCAACCTGAGCCCCAGGAGTGTTGGACTCTGAAGTTGGCTACTCCTGCCATTGGGATCCTTCCTCCTGGTTACTCTGAGACCAACTAGCCTCCCTCAGAACTCATAGAGAAAGGAAAGAGGTTCGGGGCGGGGTGGGGGTATTGGTCCTTATGGCCAGGAGGGCAGAGGGGAAACAGTCCTAGACAGGAAAAAAATGACTTTCCCATGACAACAGAGGGTGGAACAAGTTGGGAAAGTTGGTGAGACCACTTACCTAAGATGGTTAAGTGGGTCCCACCACCAAAGATATACTACAGTGACTGAATCTCAGACCAAAACCTCTTAGGCCAGCACCTGGGGCCTGCCTCCCAGGGACCAGGCCAGAGAGGGAACTTGCTGGGTATGATAGAGCACAGGGCTGCACAGGGCTGGGCTGCATTCTGGGGTGGGGGTGGGGGAGGAAGCCAGCCTCCCAGAGGCCAGGGCATACTTGGGGCCCATGGCCCAGAAACATCCCCATGTTAGGCCCCCTGTACAAAGCAGGCATCACTCATGGCTTTGGAGTCACCCAGTGTGTGTCCTTTACTCCCTGTTCTGATCCTGTCCTAGTCACCACTGAATCTTCAGTGCTGATGGAGACACTGAGTGCTGTATCCCTTCAGGGAGCCATATGGTGTGGCAGAACGAGTTCTGAGCTAACTTGGATCTGCCCTATCTTTACTGACAGCATTTTAGGGCCTCTGAGGTTCCTTTCCCACAATTTCTCATGATCTAGCTGGTTAGCCTCTACCCCGGAAGTGGCCCATGGACACTGGGTCAATCCTGACTCACTATGCTTCCACAGAGCCCACTTCCCTTTGTTCCATACGGTGATACACAGTTCAGTTCCATCTCTTTAATGAAGCCTTCTCTGATCTCTCAGACCGCTGTCTTTCTGTCCAATTGTCTGTATATCTGTCTGTCCATCCATCCATCATCTGTCCATCTGTCCAACAAATTTTCCCAACCATCCATCTGCCAGGCACTGATTCACATGTTGGGACATGGTGGTGGAGGCTTCCCTGGCTTTTACCCCTCTCTATCCATGAAATATTTTAGGTCAAGGCCAACTAGGTCCTCATCTAGGGCAAGTCTGAAGCCCTTCACCATATTTCTGCAAGAGGTCCCTTCTTTCTGGTGACTGTACTCTCCTTGGTGTCCGAGACTCCCCACTTTTCCTCTCTCATGGTTTCTCTTTCTTCCTGGCCACTGCAAGGTTGCTGATCCCCAGACCACACCCAGAACCCACTCTACCTGTGCTCTTCCAATCTCTCTGCCTTTGGTCCATGCCAATGCACTCAGATGCCTTCCTGGGAGTCTTATATCCCTATTTCCAGCCCTGCCCTCTCCTTTGGGTTCTAGATTTTCACAGATTCTGCCCACTGAACATATCTCTGCTTGAATGCCCTGCAGACACCTCCAAACTAACAGACCCCATCTAAACTGCTTACATTTCCCTGTAAACTTGCTTTCCTGCATTGTCCTCACTTCTGCAGATTAATCTTCATGCCAGAGGTCTGGAGCCATCCCAGAATGCTTTCTCCTTACTGAATCATCCTCTGCGTTCTAACACCTGACCATAATACTAAATACAATTAAAATACTTAAAAAAAAAAAGAAAAAGAAAAACCCAACCCATACTCTAAGATATAATGACAGCAAGAATCCTCAGGCTTTGCCAAATTTGATTTGATCTCCCAAATTAGTTTATTTAAGTTGGAAGATACTTGCATTTGGAGCCAGCATTATTCACCTCAGCAGCAGGATTATTTGGCCATGGCTATATTTGAGATGTGCACATAAGATTTTTGAGACACAATTTAATATATTAGTAACAAAAATTCAATTTGTTTCTTTTTTAAAGAAAGCAAGCATCTAGCCTTTTATTAAGTTAATTATCTAAGGAAACTTCCTTAACTTGATCAAAAGTATACTCCCAAAACTTATAGTAGCCTTCACATGTAAAAACAAAACCTTCTTAAAGACAAGGTTGCCTATTATCTCTATTTTTATTCAACATATTTTACAGATTCTAGCCAATAAAATGAGAGGAGGGCCACCTGGGTGGCTCACTTGGTTGGGCATCCGACTTCAGCTCAGGTCTTGTGGTTCATGAGTTCGAGCCCAACGTCGGGCTCTGTGCTGACAGCTCAGAGCCTGGAGCTTGCTTGTGATTCTGTGACACCCTCTTCTAGCCCCTTCCCAGCTCACTTACACTCTCTCTCCCTTTCTCAAAAATGAATAAAAATTTAAAAATGAGATGAGGCAAAAAAAAGTACAAATATCAGGAAAAATTAAAGAAAATTGTTCTTTGCAGATGATGTTTTAGTCTACTTAAAAACAAAACAAAACAGAGGTTGGAGGCAAGATGGCAGAGAAGTAAGGAGCTCCGTACATTTCGCCTGCACCCATCTCTCAAACAGAGAAGGCCTGAAGTCGTAGGACACTGAGCCACAGGAGTTTGGGAAGAGAAAGAGACAGAGTACCCTGGGAAGGAAACCTCATAAGTGCGTGAGTGCGAACTGGGGGAGATATAAGCTGGACGGGATCCAGAGATATGGAGGGAGAGGAGGGAACCTGGCTTGTGTGCAGCTGCAGTGAGTGATAAACCGACGAGTGGCGATGAGCTGCCACGAGACCAGGGGAAAGGAAAGAAAAGCTGAGATTGCTCATAGAACCATCCCTGGAGAAGAGAAAAAACCTCGGCTTGGAAAGACTGTTTTTTAGCTCTGGCTGGGGTGCTGACTTTAAACTAGGTGCCTGGTCCCAGAAGGCCCCAGGAAAAACTGAACTGTGGTGCTCCTGGCACCATCCATGGTGGCAGTGGCGGGTGAACCGGCAGCAACTCCTGGGAGGTGGTCCGGGCCGCGCGCGACAGCCACCCCCTGAACCTGCGGCCCCAGCGACCTGGTGAAGGAGCAGCGGCGCGAGCAACAGAGGCCTGCTGAAGCGGCAGCGGCGACTTGGTGAAGCGGTGCCAGCGCCCTATAAAGCGGCAGCGACAGCGGCCCGCTGAAGCATCTGCGGCATGCTGCAGCGACACGGACTCTACGGACCTGAAGTTGCTACATTCCCCTAACGCACTAGGGTTGTATCCCTGCTAGACTCCGTTGGATCTGAGGCTGCGACACTTCCCCTACCCCCCACTCAACCCCCAGGCAACAAGGAAGCAGTGACCTGCGGGAATGTTCAGGGTAGTTTAACAGACCCTTGGACTGGGACCTGGAAACAGGCGGGGTGTGGGGCATAGAACTCAGCCCACCTTGGCTACATCCTCAGCACAGGGAGATCGGATGAAGTGATTTGCAACGCTTGGTTGAGAAGGGACTGGGGTGACACCATTCTTCTCCCCACAACCACCAAGGAGGGGCCTCAGGGAGGCCAGCGGATACAGTGGAGACAAGTCCTGCCTACACTAAACCACGCGCATCCCCTCCAGATAGATATTTTGTTGTTGTAGCTGTTTTTACCTGAGCCTGGGTTTGCGTGTTTATTGGTTTTGTCTGTGCATTTGTGTACCTGTGTTCCCTCTGTGGTTGTCTGTTTTCTTTTTCCAGGGCTCTGTCAAGAAACAAGCCAAACTACACATGGTGGAGAGTCCCAAATACCGCTACAAGTAGGGAAACAAAATAACCAAACGCTCAGCAAGAGAAACCAAGAGACACCATCCAAAGAACACTTCCTGAACAGACAGACCCTGAACAATCAAATGAGTCCTCTCTAATACAGCAGAACTCACAGGGGCCGTGTGTACAAAAGCTTTTAAAATTAACAAGAGATAGGGGCGTCTGGGTGACTCAGTCGGTTAAGCGTCCAACTTCGGCTCAAGTATTGATCTCACAGTTTGTGGGTTCGAGCCCTGCATTGGGCTCTGTGCTCACAGCTAGCTCAGAGCCTGGAGCTTGTTTCATTCTGTATTTCCCTCTCTCTCTGACCCTTCCCTGCTCACGCTGTCTTTCTCTCTCTCTCTATCTCTCTCTCTCAGAAATGAATAAAAAACATTTAAAATTTTTTAAATATAAAATTAACAAGAGATAGAAAGCTAACCAAAATGATGAAACGGAAGAACTCTTCTCCAAAGAAACTCCGGGAAGAAATGACAGCTAGAGAACTGCTCAAAACAGACATAAGCAACATAATTGACCAAGCATCTAGAACAATAATCATAAAATTAATCGCCGGGCTTAAAAAAAGCATGGAAGACATCAGAGAAACTATGGCTACAACAATATAAAGCTTAAAAATAGTTATGGTGAGAGGAGGGGGCAAGATGGCGGAGAAGTAAGGAGCTCCGTACTTGCACTCGCACCCATACATCACACGGAAAAGATCTGAAGCCATTGGAAACATTACAAAACCTGAGAGATTGGGAGAAAAAGGACGCAGAATCCACTGAGAAATCCTTCTAATGGCTACCTCAAGAAACAAGCCAGAGTACACAAGGTGGAGAGTCCCAAATATCACTACAAATAGGAAAATAAAATAACCAAGGTCCCAACAAGAGAGACCAAGAGATACCATTCAAAAAACACTATCTGAAAGGATAGGCCCTGAACACTCAAAGAGTCTTCTTGGGTACAGCAGCGCTCTTAGATACAGAGAGCATTAACAGGTCTATAAAACCAACAAGAGCCAGAAAGCTAACTAAAATGACGAAAGGAAAGAGCTCTCCTGCAAAGAAACTCCAAGAAAAAATGACAGCTAATGAACTGCTCAAAAGAGATATCAGCAGCATAACTGAACAAGACTTAAGAATAATAATGGTAAAATTAATAGCTGGGCTTGAAAAAAAATAGGGGACATCAAAGAAACTATGGCTACAGACAGAATGGAAAATAAAAATAGGCATGAAGAATTAAAAAATGCGATAAATGAGATACATAATAAATTAGAGGCCTCCAATGCACGGATTGAAGAGGTATAAGGAGAATAGGTGATTTAGAAGACACCATTGTAGAAAAACAAGAAGCTGGAAAAAAAAAAAGAGACTAACTGATCCAGGAACAGGAAAGTAGAGTTCGAGAGCTCAGCGACATGGTCAAACGCAACAATATCCGTATCATAGGAATCCCAGAGGAGGAAGAGAGGGGGAAAGGTGCTGAAGGAGTCCTGGAACAAATTATAGCAGAGAACTTCCCCGACCTGGGAAAAGAAGTAAACGTTGAAATACAAGAGGCTCAGAGGACCCCCCCTTAGACGTAATCTGAATCGACCTTCTGCAAGGCATATCATAGTAAAAATGGCAAAATATAAGGACAAAGAATTTTGAAAGCAGCTAGGGAGAAAAGGGCTCTAACATACAAAGGGAAATCTATCAGAGTGGTGACAGACCTATCTACTGAAACATGGCAGGCCAGAAAAGAATAGCAGGAGATCTTCAATGTGATGAACAGAAAAAATATGCAGCCAAGAATCCTCTATCCAGCAAGCCTGTCATTCAAAATAGAAGGAGAGATAAAACCATTCAAAATAAACAGAAATTGAAAGAATTTGTCACCACTAAGCCAGCCCTACAAGAAATCCTGAGGGGGACCCTCTGAAGGAAAGGCTGCAGGGAACAAATATACCAGAGACGCCACCACACACATGAACTCCACAAAGGACACAAAGACTCTAAATCCACAAATCTCAATAATAACACTGAATGTAAATGGACTGAATGCTCCAATCAAAAGACATTGGGTAGTAGAATGGATAAAAAAACAAAATATCTATAAGCTGACTACAAGAAACTCATTTGAGACTGGAAGATACCTTCAGATTAAAAGTAAGGGGTTAGAGAAATATATATCATGCTACTGGAAATCAAAAGAAAACTGGAGTAGCTATACTTATATCAAACAAACTAGACTTTAAATTAAAGACAATAACAAGAGATGAAAAAGGGCATTACATAATAGTTACAGGATCTATCCATCAGGAAGAACTAACAATCATAAGTGTCTATGGACCGAATATAGGAGCTCCTAAATATATAAAACAATTAATCACAAAGAGAAACAGGCTCATAGATAAGAATGTGCTAATAGCAGGGGACCTCAATTCTCCACATACAGCAATGGATAGGTCAACCAGAAAAAAAAATCACTGAAGAAATAATGGGAATTTACTTTCTTCTCAAGTGAGCGTGGCACATTCTACAAGATAGATCACATACTGGGACATAAAGCAGCCCTCAATAAATAGAAAAGAATTGAGATCATGCCATGCACACTGTCAGATCATAATGCTTTGAAACTTGAAATCAATTACAGGAAGAAGTCTGGAAAACCTCCAAAAACATGGAGGTTAAAGAACACCCTTCTAAAGAATGAATGGGCCAATCAGGCAATTAGAGATGAAATTAAAAAATATATGGAAACAAATGAAAATGAAAACACAACAATTCAAAATCTATGGGATGCGGCAAAGGCAGTCCTAAGAGGAAAGTACATTGCTCTCCAGGCCTAT